TGTGTGTGTGTGTGTGTGTGTGTGTGTGTGTGTGTGTGTGTGTGTGTATACACGTATACACTCAAGAGAAATGAAAACATACGGCTACAGGAAAGCTGTATACAGATGTTCAGAGCATCATTATTCATACTAGCCCAAAAGTCAGCACGATCAAAATGTCCCCAACTGATGGATGGATAAACAGAATACAGTGTTTCCGTACAACGGAGTATTTATTACTCGGCAGTTAGAAAGGGACGAAGTACTTACTCGTGCCACGCGGATGGACCTTGAGAACACTTTGCTAAGTGAAGGAAAGCAGTCACAAAAGATTACAATTTGTATGATTCCAGTTATATGAAATATCGGGCGCAGCAAACCCATAGAGACCAGGAGTAGAGGGGTGGGTGCCAGTGGGGGGGGGGGGGGTTTGTGGAGAGGGGAGAACGGGGAATGCATGCTAATGGGTATGGGTTTGTCTGGGGTAAGAATATTCTGTTAGATGGTGGTGCTGGCTGTATAACTCTGCGGATAGACTAAAACCCACTGAATTGTACACTTGAAAGCGATAAATTTCACGGTATGTGAATGACATCCCAATAAACCTGTTACCTAAAGGCAGGGTGGGCCCTGAAGTCTTCAGTCAAATTCAGGAAGATGGAGGATTTCTTTTTTTCAAAATTTTGTTGAGAAAAGAAAATGCTGAGTCTGAAGCAGAAACAGAGAAAGCCAAGAACTGCCACTTACCCCCGCCCCCGGGGTGCCGGTCCCTGGCGAACCTGGATAAGGCCCCGGCCTGGAGGGAGGCGGCTCCGGGGCCCTGGTGCCTGAGCGGCGCCCCGCTCTGTACACTGTGGGAAGACGAGTACGTTCCGGGGCCGGTTGGCTTTCACTCACCTGGTGCTTTCTCTCCCCATCTCCCTGTCGTGTTTTGTGTTTCAGTGGCTGCTTCAACCCCCAACTCCACTGCTGGTGCAGCCATGAATTCTTTGACCTCCCTTGGGACGCTGCAAGGACTGGCGGGAGCCACTGTTGGGCTGAATAATATTAACGCACTAGCAGGTACCCTAAACAGTGAGTATTTGCTGCTCTGGTGGACAGCCTCCCCCCAAATTCTCCCCCAGTAACGACCTGCAAAGGAGAGGGAGCAGGGAGAACTACAGCTTGGGATGGAGGAGCACATGCCGTGCTAGGCAAATGCTGTCTACGCTCACTTTGCCTCCAAGACCACCCAACCCCACCACTCCCGGTCTCTTCTAATACGCAGAATGTGCCTCCGTCCCCAGGTTCCTGTGGCGCACGGACAGCTGCAGGTTTCACGCGGGGGTCGTGTGGGTTTGGTTGGGGTCTCTTCTTCTGAGAGGCAGTGTGTTTTAATCGAAAAATAGGACTAGAAGTCAGGACGTATGGGTCCAGTTCCCAACCTGCAAAAATCCTGAGCAAATGCTGGCCCTCCCACCCCAGGCTACAGATCCCATTTGAAAATGGAAAGTTCTGGATCAGATGATCTTCCGGGTGTCCTCTTGCTCTAAAGATTCATGACATATATAGAGAAGGAAAAACAAGGCCTTGGAAAGAAGGAAACAGAGGGGAGTGCAGAGCCCCACCGGCCGCGGTACGGGGTCTGCAAGCGCCCACAGACAGGACTCCCCCCCGCCCCCCACAGCATCTTCATCTCTGAAGAGGTGCGTGTTACCTTGGCAGGCTGAGGCAGAGTCGCGCAGCCGGCTTGCAGGATCCTCTCGGCCTGAAACCTAGGGACGCACTGAGGAACTCCAGATTCTGTCCTACACAGCTTGCCCATTTCTGCCACTTCGGATCTTTGGCGGGGGGGGGGGGGGGGGGGATGTTGGGGGGATGGAGATAGTCCCCAGACAGAGAATAAGTCCTATTTTAGCCTTGTGCTTGGCACTGGCCTCTACACTGGGGGAGAGTGATCCTCTGCCCACAGAAGGGGGACACCTCATTTGCCTCTCCCTCAGTTCAGTCCTGAGTCGAGAGCAGCCCGACCCAGGAGAGCCCGAAGGGACTCTGCTTTGGGGGCCCAGTGACCTACCATGCAGCCCGGGCAACCCAACGCCTGCCCACTTTCAGCTTTCAGAAAGGGGTCCTCGGCAAGCTGGTTTCAGCCGTGATCCAAGAAGTGACCAGTCTTTAAGGGGTGATCAGATGATACAATTTTTTTAAAGCAAAAAAAATCCCAGTAGTTCTATACTTGAAAGAAAATCTCAAAAAGAAGGCCTTGTAGTTTGATAAAAAGGAATCTAGAACTTACCAAATTTTCAAGTTTTATTAAACACTTTTATTCAGATGCTCTGGGAAAAACAAAAATTGGGACTGAGTTCTACCGTAGGCCAAAAAGAGAAGAGACAGATTATTCCTTCCAGATGGGACAGTCGTGATTAGCAAACGGTACACGAAGTGGTAACCATGTGACAACGGAATGTTTTATTCCAGTCAAACTGCCTCCAGCGCCCCACTTCCCACCGGCCCCGGAGGAGCCCTCATTGCCTTGACTCCTGTTTCCGGCCTTGTTCTGCAGACGCTCCGCCCCACTCCTCCCCCTCGGCCGCAGACACGTGTGTCTGCGCACACCCCTTCCTGCTGCTTCTCTTACCCCAGGACCTAGTTCCCCTAAAACAAGGACTTTGATTTGATCGCCTGCCTGTCCTGTCCTTGGTCTGCAAAGTAACAGGCCAGTGGGAATGGCTGTCCTCCTCAGCACGTGCTCATGACTGTGTGCGGTCCTCCGTCTGTGTGGTCCTGTCTCTCCATCCCAGTCTCCGGTGCTCTGCCGGTGTCTTCCCGTCGGTGCCGTGAGGGACTAGAGAGGGGCTCTGTTGAAAGGCCAAGAAACTAGGACCAGGCCTCGTGGGGGCTCTGTGTCACACACATTTTGCTTCTGGCAAGGACAACAGGCTTGAATTGTTTTGTTTTCTAAACTTTTTGCAATTGTTGCACATTTTTGCAACTATCCACAAGGATGGATGGTTGACGGGGAATTGAGAAGGTATTTCGTTTCAAACAGCCCCTACCAGACGGTGTGAACCAGGAAAATGTTTAATTGCTCATTTACAAAAATCACAAACAAAACTACATTCCTTCTGATTTGGTAAATGTTACTAGCCCAGAGCTATTTAGGAATCCCAACACTGGCTTGGAGCTGGTATTGGTTCCTTTTCTCAAATACTGAGAGGAAACCAAAATACATAGAGTGTTCTCTTCCAGACCACCCTGCCTGAATGTGAGCACGCTGCCTATCCTACTGAGTAAGTCTCAAAGAAGGTACTCAAGAGACGTTACCGGAATAGAGGCAGCTTCTAAAATAGTTGGCCACAGCTTCCATATCACTGCTGTTTCCTGCCTTACTCCATCCCAGGAACAATGACTTGCTACTGAAAGCATTCTCCGGTTGTCCACATAGAGCCATCTCTTTCCCATGGACAAAGGAGCCAGGAAGCATGTAGGTAGATGGAATCCAATTAATTCCCAATTAACTCATCTTTGTAAAAATGTTACCCTCTTCACTGCCACAGGGCCCCTCTCCTCCCAAAATAAAAGTTTTGGTTAGAAGACAAGTAGCTGAATTAAACTGCTCAAATTTGATAGCCCTTTTCTTCCCTTATACATTCATGAGTGGAGGGGCTTAAAAAAGTAGAGTTAGAAGCCTAAAGCTAAAAGCAAAAGTTGCCAAGATCAGAGGTAAGGAATGTGGGTGGTGATTCATTAACAGCGCTTTCAGTTTTGGATTATTTGACTGTTCTCAAGACATGTTTGGTACATAAGACGTGTTTTGTACATCTGAACTAAAACAAAGTATTTTTGCAGATATATCCACCCAAGAGTCAGTATCTTTCTGTCGGTGTTTTAATGTAGGTCAAGTGACATACTTTTTTCTCCTTGCTCAGATCACATCGTTCTTCCAAATGGCTTACCATATAGTGCTTCAAACTAGGATTTGTCAGAATATAACCAAGCACAAGTGCCTGGTGAATAATGTTTATGGAGATACAGTTGACCCTTGAACAACATAGATTTGAACTGTGCAGGCTCACTGATACGCATATCTTTTTCAGTTAATACAGTAGAGTACTACAAATGTGTTTTCCTTATGATTCAGTAGTCAGGATAGGTACTGACTATTCACAGGCCATGTGCAAGGATCCTCCCTTATTGAGATTGGCCACATCTGTCATTTTGTCCCTTGTCCAAACAGCATGCATGGGAATTTAGATTTAATGGGATGAAATGACTGATCCATTTGGCTTTTTTTTAAAGAAAATCCCCGTTCTTTTAAGGTGAGACATTTATTCAACTTAACTTTCTTCAAACCTCTGTAAACACTGTCCATAGTTTGTGCATGTAATCAGATACCAGCAGCTGAACTGACAAGTGTTATCTTTGACATAATAATTATTTAATATAAATCTTCCTTTGACGGTCTTTCAAATTCCACCAGGTAATCATTTACCTATTCTACCTTGGCTTTGGCAAACACATACCCCAGGACCTCCAGGATAGTTTGGTCTTCAATATTCTCAATGCACTTGCCAGAACTTGTACACTTATTTTTGCTCAAAAGGATGGTTATACCACGGAGGAGGAAAGGCCCGGGCTCAAGAGCCCTTACCATCCCCTCTTTGGCATCAGCACCCGTTGGTGCCCCCAATACCATTTCTGTCCTCGCCTCAGGCAGGTCAAGCCAGCCACAACTACCTCCCGCACAGGTGGCATCACTTGAAGTTAGCAGAGCCCTTCAGAAAGCAGATTTGCCCTGAGATGTAGTCCAAAACCCTGGCCAAGGACCATGAAGTGTAGGCAGGAACAGAGTGACGATGTGCTGGAATGTCACTTGGTAGGGCTGCAGGCCTCACGATGACTCTAGTCCTAAAACCCATCCCGTCTTTCAGGAGCACTGAAGTTCATTCTGCTTCTGTGTTTCAAGAGGGAAAAAAAAAATTGGCGAAAAGGTGGAAAGAGAAGAAAAGTCACCTGACCTGGATGATTTAAAAAAAAAAAAAAGGGAGACATGTACCAGAGAGGAAGGGAGTCCAGGGCCACAGTGAGGCCTGCAGTGAAACACCCCCCGTGTGTCTGGCCTCTGGGGAAGCTACGACGTGCAGGGAGGCACACCGGCTGCAAAACGCCAGGCCCTTAGCCGACAAGGTACCAGAGACGCAGGGCTCTACCGTTCCGGTGACAGCAGCAGAGCTCCGAGCAGCCCCGTACGCTGCGATGCACACCTAGACTCTCCCACCTTGGGGCAGAAGCAGAGTGGCAAGTCACCAACTCACTCTCCTGCGAGAATTCCTGCCCACCCAGGGGTCTGGCTTTCTAGAGGGCTGAGCCCCACGGCGTGATCGTCTGTGTCCCTAGCACCTATTCACAGCCTGACGGAAATGAGACAGACAGCACTGAACTGTGCCCAGCTCCCCCGGAGTCATTTTACACCCTCCTGTCACCTTTCTAGAAAAGAACCATTGCTGTTTCTTTGCATTCACACAAATATTGGGAGGTGAGGATAAAATAAGACTGAAAGGAGAAAAGCGAAGTTACTCCCCAGCCTTCAGCAGCCCTACGAATACCAGGGATGGAGGACGAGGCCTGAGTGGGGTTAAATGGGATTAGCTGATGTCTGAGGGACTGTTGCGTTAGGAGGACACACTAGTTCCAAGCTCTTTAACAGCATTTATTTGACCAAAAAAAAAAAAAATGACAGCATAGAATGCTTCTCAGTAAGAAACTGAAAGCAGAGTCCACAGGACCTCTGCTAGCCGGCACCTTTTTAGCTTCGTTTGTATTTGTTGCTAGATCCACCCGCAAGGATGTCCTTTTTCAGGAGGCTTATCGTTCCATTCTTCTGTCCTTCAGAGGCTCCTCACCCCCACCCCCACCCCCAGTGCGGTGTCTGTACTGAGGAGACTGTACTTGGTGACTTCACCCAGGGCCCACTTCTGTCCCCTCAAGCCCCCCCCAGAAGAATACCAGACTTGAGGCACTATGCATTTCCTCTGCTGTTAAGCCATGGTCTAATTCATATCTTGTGTGTAGTCCTTTTCACCTAAGAGATGAAGTTGTCAGAGTAACCGAGGCATGCTGAGAGTACGTAGAACATTCCCCACCTGCTCCATCTTCTGTGGATGGCACGCAAGAACACTGGTGGGTGTTGACGTGATTCTGATACTGGATTCCTCTGTATCATTTCTAAGCATCTTTATCTGGTCCTCTGTCCTCATTAGACTTCTTGCCAATTTGTTTTTCAGTTAGTCATCTTTGCTATTTTAATAGCCCTAATCAACAGCCCAAATCCATTCAAGAGTTTCATTAATGTTTTCAGTGAGTTCTTCCCAGAAACGGATCTCTTTTTTAAAATGTTTTAATCATAAAGGCAACTAAAGGCTATTATGATGTCACCTCTTCCATTTCCTGTGTTCATACGAAAGTCAGCACTCTATAAAGTGTTGCTTGTTTTGACTCAGGACTCAGGGAAAATGTGGCACAGTCAGCCACCATAATCGAGCAAAAGAGCAGTCAGGACACAAGAAAAAACTCAAAGTGCGCTGGCCGGCATCCAGTTCCCATCCGTGAATAGCCAAGATCCAGCTCACAGACATGGGTGTCACTTCAGTTAACCGGAAAACACGACATGGAGCGCTTTCAGGGGTGCACGCTCCCGTGACCCGGATTCATATTTGCCTGTGTGTCTGTCTGCTACTCAAGTTGGCCCCATTCTATTTGGAGCCTTTCCCACTGAGTAAGCAGCCTCAGTTCTCTACAGTTAGATTAAGGGTCCCCATTTTTTCCTATGCTTTCATTCTTAATCAGCTAGACGAGTCTTTCTAAGGGCCCACTCCCCGACGACATCCCTGAGCTGTTTCAGGGGGCCGCACACAGGTTCCCTGGGGACAGAGCTGGCCTCCGGGACCATCTCATCAGCCTGCTGACAGAGACAAGTTTTATCCCTTTTTCCGCAAACCCTTGAGCCATCCCATGGCTCCTCAGAGCGCCCGGGAAATGGACTTAAGTGCATAGCTGTTACGAGCCCCCGTCACTCACGTTTTCTTACATGCTTCTGGGCTCTACGAAGGAAAAGGCTCTCATTTCAAAACGATACCAGTACTTGCCAGTAGCACCGTGCATGGAATTACGATGTCCTGTCTCACTGTCGTGCCTCTGTGAAGTCTGCTCACTGGCCTTAGGGAGTGACGGCATCATTGCTCAGGGGGTTTCGTGGGTTTTGTTGTGTGTTCCCCATCGTGACAACGTGTTACGTCATAGTTTCGTGTTCACTTCCGTGCCGGTTTCATCGGTGTGCTAGCTGCATGCACTTGCTGTTGTTACTTGTGTCAAATGATTCTCTAACTTCCTTTGGAAAGCACTAATGAAAAGTGCTATTTCTCTTCTCTATTGTTGGGTTTTTTGTAAAGTTGCTCAAATGCTCTCAGGTATGGCGGCTCTGAATGGAGGACTTGGCGCCACGGGCTTGACGAATGGCACGGCGGGCACCATGGACGCCCTCACGCAGGCCTACTCAGGGATTCAGCAGTACGCGGCCGCGGCACTGCCCACTCTGTACAGCCAGAGCTTGCTGCAACAGCAGAGCGCCGCGGGCAGCCAGAAGGAAGGTAGGTGCTCGCCCAGGGCCCGGACGGCCTCCGAGAAACTCGACGGAGCCAGTGTCCTAGGAGAGAGCCATTATTTTATTTCTGCCCCTCCCGGGATGGGGTTTGTTTTTTCTCTCTTAAGAAACCTAACGGGACTAAGCCATTGGTTTGAATCTTCTCTCCTGTCCTCCGCAGACTTGTACTTCTTTTATCTTGCAATTTTTCCATCAGTCTTTTAATTTACCTCCTCAGACGTATTTCTCACCCACTGCATGCTTCTGCGCAGTTACCTGAGGGCAGTAGTTGCTGCCCTCAGAAACCGGGCAGGAACCCGCTCTCCCAAGTCAGCAGGGACCGTCTACTACACATTAACTGCTCCCTAGTGGAAGGGGTCAGTCGATGGTCTTCCCAGGCATGTCCCCACGCCCTGTGGCTGGTTAGCTGGCCTCTTCTCTTCATAGGCGAAGGTTTCCAGGGTAAGGATAAAACGCACCATCAGGATCGGCTGGGTCTGTGTTGAATCGGGGGTCTTCTGAGGAAGTAAGGACGTGATTGATGGTCTTGCTTCTCTGCCAATGAGGCAAAGTGAGTCTCAGGAAGTGAATGCTAAGAATAAATTCAAGCTAATTCTAAAACAGTTAATGAACCAGTCCAAAGAGGGAGAGCTTGTCTTTTCCTTTCTTCCTTTTGGTCTCTTCTCCTTAGTAGAAATTGCTTTCAAGGGAACTCTGCACCATGATGGTATTTATTCTCTTTCACACCTGTCGGAGTATGGCGGAAGGGGCTAGAATAAGGAAGTATTGCTGAGGCAGTTTTTACAAATTTCTTTCCCCTTCTCCTTTATCTTCACCCTACGTTTCCAGACTGTTCTTGTCTGCGTATTTTAAATATGGTGTTCTATAAGAATAGAATGTTTTAACTTTGTAAAGTTGTGAACTTTAAAAGGGACACAGCTTTAAAGATACCCTTGTAGAACAAAGGTTTGTTTCCATTTATAAATCGTTAAAAATGAGATATATGAAAATCTAAATTCTTCATTATTTCAACTTTCTCTTTATTCTTAGCTGTGACCGTTAGTGTAGATTTTTAAAAACCTGCACCACCGTTCAGGCAACTGTATTTCCCGAGGCATGTGGAGACCCTACGTCATAAATACCCTGCCTTCCCAAAGAAGGGCCTGCCCTGAGGTCCCTTGTCTGGGGTCAGACTACCATGGTGACTGTGGTAGGAGGGGTCTGTGAGATAATGATGTTCTTAGGCGAAAACATAAAAGCCGGTTCCCCGCAGGATTCTTAAAGAATCTTGGCCACTGCTCCGTTGCCCAGCAGAGCCTTAGAGCAAGCAACGTGACGTATGTCACCGAGAAACACCCAGTCACCAGTGGACTCGCCATGTACTGGTGCAAGGATAGAATGTGGGCCCTGAAACAACTGTCCTCTGCTGCTTTACCGCAGCTCACTGCCCCACATTTCCAAGCCTTGCCTTTTTGGGGTTGCCTGTGCAGTAGCTAACCCTCTGGGATTAATGTGAATAATGGCTGCCAACCTGGGATCATTGACATTTAGGTATTGGGGCTACCGGTAGCATGGTTTAGTTTTGATTTTTTTGGTGGTGGTGGTGGTGGTGTTTTTTGGTTTGTTTAGTGTTTTTAATCATCTCCCACCTTCTCATACCTCTTTTCTGATCACCTTCTTTTCACCCAGTTGATGTGTGCTCAAGAAATTTAAACCATCTTAATATTAGTTTGACTGCAACGTAATTTTCAAAACAGGTTATACTTGGAAGGAAAAAAGAAAAACCCAATGAATTCCACAACTAAACAGATTTTTAGATTTTCTGCTCCATGGTTTTGTCCTTTAGTTAAGAGAGTTGAAAGTCAAGTTGATGCATTTAGTCATGTGCCCTAGTATATATTTTCCCACAGGAAAATGAGCCAGGCTGGCTTTGCTGCTGCTGTTGTTTTAAAGTGGCTTTGATATATTCCCCAGCTAAATCTTCTGAAGGGTTATGGCATCCCTATCGACCTCAATCCAGGAAAGTTTACCATCTTTCCTATCACTCCTGAATACTCTCTGACCTCTGTCATACCTACCCATGTTCCTTGATTTGCAGAAGGCAGTCACGCACACACAAGTAGGCAGAGCCTCAGGAAGGCCACAAAGCAGCTGGTGGGTGCCGGCCATCGGCCACAGACACCCCCAATGCTCTGTGCTAGACCAGGTGCCCTATCTGAGAAATACAAAATGTGAGCACCCAGCCAGCTGGGACCAACACTCTAACAGAGAACTCCAGCAAGTTAAAATGACATGTACTGGGAGAGATCCGAGGAATGCATGATCTGTCAGCAGGTTCTTACTTAAAAGCAACAGTGAGGTGGATACATAGGTGGAACCCTCAAAAACGTGTTTTTGTGTCTCTACCCTTGGTATCTATGGCAACAGCCGCCTTCTTTGCACGGAAGAGAGGTTTTCCCCATCGAGTCACCTTTTTCTTATTTTAGTGTTCACAATTCTGGCAGTTTGCAAAATCAAACTATTTCTGGGTGATGAAAACTGGTGGGGTCTACACTAGGAGATGCTGGTGGCACTTTCACCTGAGAAAATGGTGAATAAAGAACAGAGCCTCCTTAGAGTGACCTTTTTCATATTTTCTTGGTCCCCCCATATGGCACAGATACAGTCGGAATGTACAGTGTTCTAGAATGCCAGGACTGCCCAGGCGTAGCCAGTACTCTGACAGAGTGCAGTAAATTGCATTTTCTCCCCGGGCCTCAGGAGTTGAGAGTGGGTCCCATAAATCCTCATTTGTACATGTGGACCTTTTATTGAGAAGGAACATGAAACCTGGGTGGTGCCAGATTTGCCCAGTACACACACTGCCGAAGCCGTGCCTGGCCTGGTGGCACTCCAAACATCCCTTTCCAGTGTTTTGGTTTTTCACCTATTCATATTAGTGTTGATTTTTTTAAGAATTTTTTTAAACCAGGAAACATTTGGGGACCTAAGACCTGCAACTGTGTCCCTTGAATTACAGACTGCCTCCTTGGCACTGGAATGTGGATATGTCCATGGGAATTGTGAGCAACACAGAAAGTTAAAGTGGTCATGTTGAACTTAAAGAAATGCTTCATCTCTGTGGCTTCAGAAACTTGCTTCCAGAAGACATCCTTGGGAAAAGTCCCACACATTAGTACACTGTTTTTTTGTGGCAAGAAACTTGGTTTGACTCTTCTTTACAAAGATGTTTCTTCTATTTTTACAAAGTTATTCTTACTCCGGTTTTACTTCTCTTAGACCCAAATACTAACCACCACCACACCCCCCTGCAGGGACCCGTTGCAGCCACTCCCTTGGGGCATCCCAGTGGGGCAGGCAGCTCTGGTTCCTTCCCTGGATGCCACTGAAGGTTCCAGGAGTCAGCTGCCAAGGTTACTTCATCTGTTTTGTGAGCACCCTTCCCCTCCAGACACCACGCCCCGAACTTAGAACATCCTAGAGGCATCCAGCCCTGGGGGGGGGCCCCCCCCGGGCGGGGGGGGCCCGGGGGGGGGGGGGGGAATCTGTAACTACCCCAGGCGGCTTTGGACCTGGAAAGCCTCCTTGCCTGTTCTGGGTTAGATGATTACCTCCCATCAGGTCACTCAGATTCCCTCCTTTTCACCTCCGGACGGCTCTCGGGCAGGTGGCTAGAGAGATGGGGAATGACGGGAAGACAAGAGGAGAACTTACCTCTCTAACCAGTGTAGCTGAGAGGGCCTTCCATACTCTGCCCTGGCTTCCTGTTTCTCTGGAAAGTGATGGCTCTGAGCTTGGTCTCTGCCTAGCTTCTGCACCTTGTGCGTTCATTTCCAAGGCTAATCCCCAGTGGTATGATTCCTATCACAGCTGTGAAACTCTAGCTACCTATTTTTCCCTGCCTTGACTCACTGCCAGTCATTTCTAATAAAAATGATTATTAGACTCTGTTAAGAGATTTGGCAAATCAAAACTGGATGGATAATTAGGTAAATGATTGAGAAATCCAAGCAACATTACTGCTATATCCATTATTCTAAATTGCTGCAATTTGCTTAGAACACACAGGATACTCTCAACTCCAAGAGATCGTACATACATACAACAAAACACAGCCACCCAGGAAAAACCCACTCCTGCATTCTCCTCCCCACCTCTACCCCATGGGGACCACCTTCACCCCCATGAAGAGGAGACTGAAAATATGTACACTAAGCAAATGCGAGCCACAGAAGATGATCAGTGAAAAGACAGCTATTGCTGACCAGTGTCTTTGGAAATCAGGACCATCTGAAGGATGATTCCCATCTTGAAAGACATACCAGCACTTGACATTTATCCATCTGTCTCATTCCCTTCTAGCATGAGAGAGAAAGGCAAATGCTTAGGCTATCTGTTGTTAAAGCAGTCCTAAGAAGAGGCCTTGGGAACTAAGAAGCGAAGAATACCTTACTCTGATTTTTTTTTCCTCTTTAGGTCCAGAGGGTGCAAACCTCTTTATTTACCACCTTCCACAGGAGTTTGGAGACCAGGACATTCTGCAGATGTTCATGCCTTTTGGAAATGTTATCTCTGCTAAAGTCTTCATTGACAAACAGACCAATCTGAGCAAGTGCTTTGGTATGCAAAAGAAACCAAGCCAGAATATTAACAGTACATTCCCAAGTGTGAGGAGTCACGGGAAGGAAAATGTAAATGGCAAATATTTGAGAAGTCCAGATAGGGCCTTCCCTGGGTGGTGCTATTTCCTGGTGTTCTGGATCCATGTAAGCAGATCGGGCAAAGTCATTTAGTCAAAAGCAGAGGAAGGGGCTATAGAAAAAGGAAGGATCTGGGAAATGAAACTAAATGCCCACGCCTTAGATGATGTTGTGTACTGTGCTACTCAGGGTCTTACTACACGCAGCTAGTCATCTTTCACTAGTTTCTTCAAGCCCCACCGCTGGAACCACGAACTTGAGCAGAGGGAAATACAGTTAATGGACTACAGCGTACTTTAGGCGATCCTGGTACAGAGCAGTACTGCAGACACTGCCATGAATTCCGTAGCCTTCTAGGTGCGGGAGGCTTCGGGCACTTGTGGATCTGGGTAGCATGTAGTATGGGGAGGCTTCCTACATTCTCACATACCTTCACAGTAGGGGTGTGGCCACACTGCAGCACCCCCCCCCCAAGCTCGGGACGGGGAGTTGATGCCCGTCACGGTCCCAGGAAGTGCTGCATTATGCTGATTCGGGAGCCAGAATTTGGGATGATGGGCTCTGCAGGGCCTGCCCGAGTGGATGCAGAGCCCAGGAGATGCAAGCATTCAGAAAACACTGGAAAACCCAGGTCCTCGGTGGCCTGGGCTGTTGTGTCCTCCTTCCTCATGCAGCCCAGACTCTGTGCTCCCTAAAAGAGAGGCACACTCTCCACTGGCCCTAATGTTTTAGAAGCAGAAGCATAGCATTCATTAAATCTATTTCTTGTTTTGCTTTTTGAACCCCTTTGGTCTCCAAAGTAGCTTAGAGGCTAGAATGTTCAGAGTATAGATTACTTGCTTGGCAAGTTCTGGCCCAGTCTGAGATCGAACATTGGCTTTCATCATTCCTCCAATCTAGTAATTCATGGAGGTAGTAGGCAGTAAGAGCACCAAACAAATTGGAATAGATCCGGACCCAGGAAATACAAAGAGAACTATATGGTATGAAGAAAAACATCAAAGGTGGTAGGAGTGGTACTCAAACTTAGTATTTGGCTAACTGGAAATGGGCAACAGGTGTAAAGAGAATGTTTTGGCTTCTAAAACCCCATTATCGTAACGTCTTTCTAATCTCTGTGCCATCACCCAGGAAGGTCTGAAGCCTCTGTTGTTAGGGGAATTAGTATGTCAACCATTGAAAGTCACTGTTTTTACCCAAGTGGACAGGGTGTCAGCCTGAACCAACCCCACTATCGCTGCTGCTGTGACAAGTACATAAACCCCCTTGTGATGGCGCACCAACAAGTGAAATGGAAAGGGAGTGGTTACATGAGGGGGGGGGGCATCTGTGTTTCGGTGGGTGCTTACCACTCGGAGCTTCCCTGCGCGAGGTTATGAGCCAGACTTTTATACTCCTCATCACTAAGCAATGTCCTGGGTTTATTTGGAGATCGGAAAGGGATTGTGCTTCAGGGTCTGATTTTGAGAAAAACAGTTGTTAGTGCCTTGAAAAGAGATTATATCAGCCCACATACTCTTCAACCAAGGTGTAATAATGCAGGCTATACCTATGAATGTCGGCAGACAATGGTACTTAGCACTATGCACTGTTTTCAGTTTTTATCAAAAGCCGCAGCATCCCAAACCTACATTTCTCAGTGAGCCGGCCTAATTTGGGGGGGGGGTCCCAGATTTGCTAGTCTTAGGTAGCCCATTCTCTCATGCTAACCTCTTGGCCAGGTTTCGTTATCCATTTCACCCTTGACCCATTTCCATTCTTTAATCATCTTGCTGCTTCTGGATAACGACCTAGAAGGAAAGGAGAAAATCAGAGCCAAAATCTTGGATTCGAGAGCACATATACTGGGGATTAGATTTAGTAAAGATCTGTACCACCATTTTGCAGTACAGCCTGCCAATGAAAAGCTTTTCTGCATTATACCATATGCTCCTTTTTATCGGCTGAGAACTCTGTAAAGTTATATTTATGTCCTTTTCTTCCTCCTCCAGTTTGTAAAGGAGTTTTCTCTTTAGCTTTAGATTTTAATAGCAGATAGTTGAAGAAGCTTAGTATAGAACCTTCTGAACAGCTGATGTTGAGAACTGGAATCCACCCAGTATAATAGCTTCCTTTCAACCCCAGAAGTAGGGACAGTACGAGTTCAACACCTTTACGTCGGCATTACCTAAAGAAAGCTTTGTGTGTACCCTCTTACCCCCACCACCAGTGTTAGAGCAAACTATTGTGATCAGAATTCTGTTTCTGGGTCTTTGCAGAGCATCACTGGCCCTTTCTCAACAGCATGCCCTCCCTGCCATTTTGGTGGTGTTAGGACAGACCAAGATACTGGGAAGTCTGTGAGGATGGCTCTTAAGCCCTAAGCTATTCAGACTCTTTATTCTTAGGGGGTATAATGTAGCAATTTCCAGTCTGTCGAATGCAGTGGAGCTTTGAAAACGGAAGTTGAGATGATAAGAAAGGACCGGCATTTCCCTTGGGGGTTCCCTAGGTCCCTCTCAGAAATAACTCCAAAATGTTAAAAATCAAGTACAAATTATCCTAGAGTTAATTCACTGACTGACCCCATCCGACAGCCGAACAGGTGTGGGCTGTGTGGATACAGATGGGGAACTGGAATGAAAGTCGGGGTGTTTGCAGTGTACCGTTACCAGCCCTTCATTTAAACCGCACCTGGTTGGGACATGTGAGCCTCTGGGGACCCTGCGAGCCCCGGAGTATCTATGCCTCTGCCTCTGTGAGCACCACCACAGGTTCTGTCAGAAGGATTCCAAGGGGCTTGAAACCCAGACAGACTTGACCGAAGTCAGTAAACAGACCAGGAGTCTGAGAGTCTGAGATTTCGTTTTTCACAGAGGAGAGGGTGGTTGTCATGATACCAAATTCCCAGTCCGACCCGCTTTTCTCCCTGTTTCTCTGTGGACGTGCCCAGGGGTGGCCGTAAAACACACCCCGTCCGTCCACGGCCGGCACACCCCGACCCGAGCAGAGCTGCCCGCGGCCGAGCCCACGGCACCTGCCCACGCTCCCCACCACGTACGGTTACACTCTGCAGCCCCGCCCCCACGACCTCCTGCTCGCTCCCGTCTCCCGCGCTGCCTCTCCATGCTGACTGCCGCCGTCCTTCCCCTTGTGTCTTCCAGGCTTTGTTAGCTACGACAATCCTGTGTCCGCACAAGCTGCTATCCAGGCTATGAATGGCTTTCAGATTGGCATGAAACGCTTGAAGGTCCAGCTGAAGCGCTCCAAAAACGACAGCAAACCTTACTGATCCTAACCCCAGAGGCTCCCTGCTCTTATTTTAGCTTTCTTAGGGTAAGTCCCACAAGCCAGCCTGTACTCAACAGGAAAGGCAGAGGAGGACCACATTGCCAACTTTTACCAAGAGAGACGGTTATTTTTACTATAAGGCCTCCATGTCCCCTCCCCCGCCCCCACCCACTTCGCCATAATTAAAAACTTGGGCTACCTTGTTTCTATCGAGTAAAACTCCTCTTCCAGTTGTGCCACTGTATTCTCCTTTGTTTTGCAATTTGAATCTCCTTTTACCTTTTTCGTTTTGTTCTCGTTTTTTGCTTTTTTTTTTTTTAAAGAAAAACACACATAAATAAATGACATCTTGAGAATTTAAAAGGCAAACAAAGGCTAACGTGCAATTCTAACTCTGAGCCCCCTGGTGCCCCAGAGCACTGCCTGGAGAATTCGCCCCTCCTGTCTGCGCCCGTCCCTAGGAGGGCGCCGGCCGATTAGAGGTTAAGGTGGTGGCCCAGCTCGAGAGAGAAGCCAGGAGAAGCACTTAAAACAATACAAACGTCTTTCCACTACATTTGGTTTGTTTTAACAAGTAGGATTTTATTTTAGGGTTCAAAGAAACATGACATTTATCGGTCAGATTATTACACTGGTTGTCTATTTTGTTGTTTTATTTTAGTTTTTAGAAAGGATTAATGTAAAAAAAAGATTTAGAGATCTGTTTCTTAAAGCTACAGGGTTTAAAAATAAAATAAAAATGAGTGAAAATACTTGATGTTTCTTGAAAGATAAATTTAATAATAAATAAATAATACATAAATACATAAATAAAAAAGAAAGCCACAGGCCTGTAAATTTTATTTGTAAAAAAAGCATTTCTATTTTTGTACAAAATTTTTACTGCCTCAGAAATAATGGAAGTTATTTATTGCCTATTGTTAACTTATTGGGTACCTAAAGAGCAGTTCTCTGTGCTAGCTAGATCCTTTTGAAGTAGTCTCTAGAGGAATCGTTCTAGGAATGGGCTTTTTTTCACCGTTGAACCCTAGGCCTGCAGTTCATGCTTTTCCCTCTTGTTGTTTGTATCTGTCTGACGATTTTGTTTGTAGCCTCCATGATCTATCTAGTTTATAGTTCGGTCGTCTGACTCTCCCCCACATGTTACATCCGTTGAAACTGGATCCTCCCCTGCTGTCCCTCGCCAGCCCCCACCCCAAAACTCCTGGAATCCATCCCCTCTCCTCCTCTGGATGGATTCTCTTGGGGTTCCATTGTGCTGTGGATAAAGATTGTAAGAAATGCAAATTACGGGAATGGCTCGTAGACTCCCGGGATGACCTAAGATTTGCATTAGTTTTTCTCCTGCACCCTTAAGAGTGATTTTGTTGCTGCTGCGTAGATTCTGTGTAACTTTTTACTCTCCCTTGTTTTCTCCCTAGACATCTTCATGCCCGTTAGTTCACCGTTTGCCTAGCATGTCCCTGTGGCGTCTCAAAAAAAAAAAGTTTCATCGTCCCGTCATTGTTTCTGATGTCTTTCTGACCTCACATCACATTTGGTTCTCCTACTGACCTTTGATCTAGTTTGACCTTTGAAATTTGCATGTGACCTCATCTAGCTATGAATTCTGGGAAGTCAATGTGAAAAACATTGCAGCATTCATGCAAGACTGAAATTTATTAGACAAATTAATTATAGAAAAAAAACCTGTGGCAAAAACGTTTCTTTCTTATTTTTTTTTTTTTCATAAAACAGACTTGAAAGTATTATACAGGGATTGGCATTCTTCCCGGTCACTGGTAACAATAGCAATATGTGTCCAGGGACACAGAATGTTGGTTTCTAACAGACTACTTCCAAAAACAGTTTGAGAAAAAAAACTGTCTGATTTTAAGTCTCTAGAGGTCTGTAATAGTTTTTACATTTTTCAGGCAGTGTAAAGTTTTTTGATAAGGCCATTTTAGGTGGCTCACTTTCTCATTAAGATATATATATAGAACCACTTTTTGTAGATTAGTATAAGAAAAATATTTACCCTGTTTTGGGGCAAATGCTACCTATTTGTGTCACCTTTTGCTGAACTGACTCACAGTTAGACAATCCATGGTTTAATGCACATGAAATTACCTATATTTTATACTGTTTCAATGTACAGGAGAAAGGTTACTGTAAACTGTTATGTTGGTGCTTCTGTGAATTAAGTTGTGGTTTCAATCATGAGTCTTATGGTCTTAATGTTCTCTGTTGATAAGACAAGGTTAGAATTGGTTTACTTAAAGAATTTCAAAAAAAAAAGTTTGCTTAAAAAAAAATTTCATGTGAGGGGGAAAAAAAAAAAAACCCTATTCCAGAATAAGTTTTGTGTTGGCTTGTAAAGCATTGATGTCATTTTTTTTTATTGTGGACTATTTAGATGTGTTTGTGTTCAGCAAAATGTGATTTTTTTTTCTTTTAAAGAAAAAAAGTGAAAATATATAGTGCCAAATTCCAAAGGTACTTCCTTCCTAGAGCTTCAGTGTGTTTCTTGTGAGAAGTAATTTGATAACATGGGTATTTTATTATGTGTTTTGTATAAATCCCTAATATTTAAAAAACAAAAAACAAAAAAAAAGAGGTTAAAAAGTTTGTTAACTTGCTATCCTGTGGTCTTGTTGCCTGAAATTGTTATTGTTTGTTATTTCTCTATGATGTTTTTTGTAAGACATTGTATAAGTGCCCATGTCTCACTTTTTTAACCGCTCTGCACATCAATGCTGTGATGGCAACCTCACGATGTATTTCCTTCATAATCTATGGAAACCTCTAAGGTGAGAAAGTTCTGAACTTCTAACCCTTTCTACCCAGAGCTGTCTGGAGCGTTGGTAACTTTTTATACCGTTGTCATTTCTGTTTGTTCCAGGGTGTTTCTAATTTGGACTCCCCGCCCCCCGCCCCGGCCCATACATCTTTTGAGTTTTGTCTTTTCTACTTTTTTTTACCCACTGGTTGAGATCCAAAAGAAAAAAAACTCCACAAAGCAAATCTGAAGGGAAAAAATATATCTTCACCCTCTCCGTTTTTTGTTTATTTCCGCCCTACACCTTTTTTTTTTTTTTTTAGTTTTGATTGATTGATAATTTCTGGTCATTTTAAAAAAACTAATGTGCTGCTGAAATTCCTTCTCCGGTTTTAATTAGAAACAGTGGATTGATTAGATAAACCTTCTAAGGGGGATGGTAGGTAGATTCAGTACCTACATCATTAACCTTAAATTCTATATGCTTTTGAGATCAGGTGTAGGGGTATGTTCTAGTTCAGAATATTTTCATATGCCTTCCAGTTAAACGACTTTGTGATGGGGTAGCATTTTGAGGGATTTTTATTCCTTAAATACTCCCAATTAATGATGTTTCTAATCAGCCACTGTGCTGGGCATTCTCTGATCCCAGGAGATACCTCTGATTAAGCAAGGTGCCTGGGGTTAGAAGTTGATAGTCCTTTCTTTCTCTGCCTTTTTGTTAATTTTATTAATTGAAATCATTGAAAGGGGACTGACCATCTAAGTCCAACTCTATTCTTTATCACAGTTACTGACCAAATACCTAGCACCAGATCCTGCTGCCGCTCTATAAAGTGCCATATTACTTTGACTTCGACTTCACGTTGAACAGAACTCTCACTGTCTTGACAAACCCCAGTGTCATCCCTAAGGCCCCAACACAGACTCCTGCCTTCTTGGCCCTGGAAGCTTGTCTTTAAAGGAGTTCAGAAACTGCTGGCTCCCTTTCCTTCCTCCTTCTCCCACTCACCACTCTGTTGAGTTAGTTCCATGTGGACGTGATAGCCCTGGGATGGAAAGGACTAGCCTCTAACGATGCAAAAAAAAAAAACAAACAAACACAAAAACTAAACACAAAACAAGTTTCCTTCTTATAGCACATGCACTTACAATGAAATGATCTGTATTATCCTCACACGTGTTTACTACTGCTGGGGCCTTCCTTCATCCTTTGAGGGCTATTTTGTACTTCCTGCAGCCATCAGCTTAATACCAGGAGTCCCCACACATCGCGCTCTCACATACAGCATAGGGTGGTTTGTGGATGCACAGCACACAAGAGAACACCACCATCTGAATTTCAGACTGTCCTTTCACCCACCTGCATCTCCCCCAGAGGAGCTTGAATGCCGGTGACAAGAGGCTCAGGCTGGGCACTTCACATTGGGTGTTTCTTATTTTGCAGGCGACCAAAACAGTACATTTCAGGGGGAAAGTTTTTTTTTTTTTTTGCATGTTTGCATTGTTTAAAAGCTGACCCTCCTCAGAGACAAATTGACTTTTACTCACTTTATCTTTTAATATCAAAGGAAAAAAAAGCTGCAAGGGTGCAAAGGGCCTGTGCCAGAAGGAACAACACACAGGGAAACTGCTTTTTTAAAATCAAGTGTAGAGAATAGTCGTTTTTACACTAAATTAGAGAATTGTGATAAAATGGCAGTCCTCAAAGGTGTAACAAGTTCATCTTTCTTTCACCATAGGGGTTATAGTTCTTTGGCTTGTGCTACTCTGGACTCATTTTACTGTTTGTTTTTATTAAGTGCTAATTAACAAGAAGAAATAAAATTTTAAAAAAACCTGTAGTTTCATTACCTTTTTGAATAATGTCATACAAAAAATGTATTTGTGTTTTTTTGTGCTGTGAGAATTGTTGTTTGTAGATTAATAATATCATTTTGTTTAGAATTACAAAATAGTTTTTAAATATTGTCTGAGAAAAGCCAAAGTTAATGCAACCTAGTGGAAACTGTAAGACCATTTGAGTATTGTTTGTTTTATTGATGCATTTGGATTTTGTTGTTTGATGGAATTTGAGCCAAAAAAAAAAAAATACGCAGGCTTTCCTATTTCTACAACTGATTGTACTTACGCATTTTGTACCAGTGGAACTTTTTATACTGGAGATTAAAAAAAAAATGGAAATTTTTGTGGCTTACTCTAGTGGGCCCCCTGACAATGACTGATTTCAGGTTTGATTTCTGGTTGATAGAAAGAAAGTTGCTTTTCTTTTGAGAATTAAAAACTTTGGCTTCATTTCTTTTTTCCCTTTGCTTATATCTAGCATTAGAATTTTGTCTTAAAATACAGCGGTAAGTTTCACTTTTTATTCTGTATTGTGCAGTTACACAATAAGGTAATTAGATTTAGAAGTACTCAGTCACTTTAAGTGGATAAATGTATTAGTTACAACTTTAGGGGTTTGCTTTTTTGCTGTTTAGATCAAAGTTTTTTCTGATTCTTCTGTCCTCATTGTGAACATAACCGTGTAGTTGAAACAGTCAAACTTATTTTTGTAACGTATGTTATTGTGTGATGCAGTTTTTTGCTTCTGTCTCCAATATTAAACCATTTTCCTAATACTTGTTTCTCTCTCTGCGTGTTGTATTGTTGGTAGTCATTATATGTTGGTGATACATCTACACACCTCACTGTTTCACGTATCTGTTTTTTTTCTATATGTTGTGTAAAAAGATACAGTCGATTCCACCTAAGTGAATATCTGATTTGGGGAAAGGGGTAAACTGCACACCAGCCACCTCTTGATTTCTATACAACAGCCCATTCTAACCACCTAGTCCAAGACTGCTACTTACTTCTGTCATTCCCCTAAATAACTGCCTGCAGAGTTGGATTTGCCCAGACCTCTTCCGGTCTTCTGACCCCACTGGTCCCTTCCCTCCTCCCGCCCTGTCGCGGGTGCACGGATGCAGTTCCTAGGGCTCGCTGCTGCATCACTTTAAGAAATGTTAAGAGGAGCAGAAGCAGAGCTAGGGTTCCTTCCACCTCCCCACAAGTCTAAAGGCGTATCATTACCAACTCTTCCTAGGGACTAACCGCATTTTTCAAAGAACTGAGCTCTAAGGGAAGAAACGGCACAATGACCTGGTGAATAGAGATGTGAAAGGGTTAAACTTAAGTTTACATGTTCCTATCAATCAGTCACTACCGATGTATAGAAAAGTAATTTAAATTATTTCTTTTTAAGAGCTGATTGCATCCAGGAGCAGCTTTAATTACTGAAAAGAACAGAAACTAAAGGGACTACTTCCAAGTGCTCAAAAGGAAGCTCTTACTCGGTGAGGTGGGAGGGGAAGGAGGTACAGGTTCTCATGCTCACGTCTTCATGATACATCATCCATTTCCAAACGAAAGCCAAGGATGCCATATGCATCCACACAACTCCCTCCTGAATGAACACCTTGTCCCCCACTATCACCCCAACCCCAGTTACCAAAAGAGAACTAAAGGAACTATTCCTTGTATGCCCTCTGAAACCGAAGCTCCCGGCCACCCTCCCATCTCTGCCCATCTCTTATGCTCAGGAATCGGACTGCTCTCCAAGTGCTCTTAAAAGATCCCATTGATGTTTGCTCCCTCTGTCTTCTCTCTCCCAGCTTTTCAGACACACAAACTCTGTCTGACTCAGGCCACCCTGCACCGGGCAGCCTTCCTCCCGCTGCCAATGAGATTTTCCCCGCAGGTGCTCAAGCCCTTCACCCTCTGGTTTCGGCGGCCCCTCTGGCCCCTAGATGGTCTTTTCTAGTTGGCTCAACAACAGAGGGACCTGGTGAGGTGGAGGGAAGGAGGCTCTTTTCCCCCATAGGCTGAACACCTCAGCGAAGTGACTTCCACCAGCTCCAAACCTGCACAGATGGGAGCTGACTTCCTGCCAATAGTTCTGCTTTAAAGCTCATAGCCTTCATCAG